ATCAAGTTAAGTTTGATCTCAATGTCTGTAAATAACTCTTTTTATCTATACTTTTTTACTTATAAGTGAAACTAGAAAACCATTTTGCACGGAAATAAATATTAATTCCAAATTTCACTAAAGCAAAAGATTATTTATTTTAGAGGTAAAATTCGTTTCTAAAACAAGTTGTAATTTGAATAAAGCTAAAGATTATTCAATTTAAGCTAATATTTATTTTTGCAAAAAAAAAATTACTTACTAATAACTAAATTATTTAAGCTTAGCCAAACATGCAGTAATCCCACCATATTGTCATCCAAACTCCCAGAGAAGCCCAAAAAAAAATCAATTTTTTTTTTTTTATAATTATTTAGACCCACGTGCGAAATTACACAATTAAAAGCAACAAGACACTTTTAAATTATTTCTAGATGGTTAGTCAAATGAGCCAATTTGACCTAAGTTTGAATATCACAATCAATAATTAAAGCAGTAAAAAAACCAAAGATGATCACGGAGAAACCCAACTGAGTAAAAATTCCGAGCACTTTGCCAGTAAATAATTCACTATAAATCGAAGCAAACTTACAGTACGATCCAAACATGTCTACCCCATAGAATTTTTTACCTCAATTCCTACGGTCTCCCTTGATCCTACTGGAGGTGTGCTCCTTCAAAATAAATCTCGACTCTTGGTCTATACCTTAGCCTTCTCGATTGCGTGCTCTTGATGCCAGATCCAGACTTCTGGTATCTCACCTTAGTCTTCCTGAATTTGTGCTTCTGCAATAACTCTCGATACCTGGTATCGATTTAACTCCAGTGAATTAAGTAGTTCGGTACTTGATAAATAAATCTTGTGTGTTTTGATCAGTGGTTTTATATGAAACAATATGATTTAATCAATAAAATATATTTTGGAAGAATTTATGGATCAAGTAATATGTGGTGGTTGAATATTAGAATCAATGAATGTTTTGGATTTTGAATTATCTCTATGGAATAAATATGATTCAACATGCTATTGGACGTTCATAGGGTAGGATATATAGAGAAAAGTATTTGGGTTGAAAAAGATTGAAAAACCAAGTGTCTGAAGTAAAATGCAATCCTGGACGTCGACCCATCACTCGAGCGTCGAGTCAGGGACAAGCGAGCAGCGGATGAGAAGTCGTCTTTATTTTTATCATAACTTTCTCTCCCGATTCCCGATTGAGGTGATTCAAAATGAGTTGGAAAACTAACTCAAATGGATACAATTCTTCTGGAAATAGACTTGTTCAAATTCCAATGTTTTCTATGTGAAAAATGTGTTGCAAGTTGCGATTGAGAATTTGGAACATAACTTGTGCGGCTCTTGGACATTCTTTAGACTTATAATTGTATTCCCTTGATCATATGTGATCATCTTGGACTCCTTCAAGGACTATATTCCCAACCCCAACTCTTTTGACTTTAATTAAGATTTAATAACTCATATTTTGACTTTGATTACAACTCGATAAACTGGTAATATAATTCAACCAGGACTTGATTTTGACTAAGGAAATTGTCAATTATATAATTTGGACTTAACACGATACAAACTCGTCCAAGTTGCACCTTGTTGGTGAGAATACTCTTTGCAATGGCTTGAAACAACTCAGCAGTAGACTGTGTGATTGCAATTTATTTTATATATGAGTCCCTATAACTTCTACTAGATGCATAATGAAATTCAATCCAAAGGACTTTTCCTTTTTAACCCTTTTACTTCTACTTAATTCGGGAAGATCTTGATTTTCATTTCTTTTGTTATCCTATCTTACAATAGGGTGGTATGTAGGACTGTCAATGAATCGGATTTTGATCCGAATCCGACGAAATTAATGGGAGATGGATTTAGAGTCTCAATCCGATAACCCGATTAAAATCCGAATC